GGGCCCAAGGACTTGGGCCATCTTCTACTGCTTCCCAGGTGCATTAGCAAGGAGCTGGATCAGAAGTGGAGAAGCCAGGACTTGAACTGGTGCCCATAGAGGATGCTGGAGCTGCAGGCCAGGGCTTTAACCTATTGTGTCACAGCTCGGGCCCCTTAACTGTCTTTTGGGTGATTGTTTTATTAGTCGAATCCTCCCTGTTCTTAAAAAACAAATTTGTTTCACTTTAGGGTGAACCCGGTAAGAACGGTGCCAAAGGAGAGCCAGGGCCACGTGGTGAACGTGTAAGTGTTAACACAATGGATATGGTCATTTCCTAGAAAAATGCAAACATAATAAATAGGCACAACTTTGGTAACTAAATCCAGTCATAACTCCAGTACTTTGCCATCATGTTTTAGGGTGAAGCTGGTTCTCCAGGTATTCCAGGGGCTAAAGGAGAAGATGGCAAAGACGGCTCACCTGGAGAACCTGGCGCCAATGGACTTCCGGGAGCTGCGGGAGAAAGGGTATGTTTCCTGTGGGGCATCGAACAGAAAGGCCACAGCACTGTCGTTCCCATGAAACCTCACACTCAGTGGAGTTACTCATTCTACATCTGAAGCATTTTAGTGTTTTATAACACAAGAACATCTACATTGCCACCCAAGAATTAATCCTTTCGACTGAAGTATTTGGCTCTCCTTATTTCCAGGGTGCCCCTGGATTCCGAGGACCTGCTGGACCAAGTGGCACTCCAGGAGAAAAGGTAAATAATTCAAATTTCCCTTTTCCAAAAGTAATAACAGTACTACAAATAGGTATATCTTTTTATGCAGTTTCCCAGTGATAAAAAACTAAATACCTGAAACCCATGGGAGTTAAAAAAATAATTCCCAATGTCAAATAATGATTTTAGCCCCTGCTCTGTCACATTCCTAGCTCTGAACTAAAGCAAGTCACCTAACCCTGGGAGAATCCTTTAACATATCTATTAATTGGGAATCTTTCAACACAGCATCATTGCTAAAGTAATATAGACTGAAACTCCTGAAAGCTCTTTGAAAATTCTAAATTAATATGCAAATAGGATTTTATATCATCAAAGATATTTGACTTTAGATGTACAAAAATTGATTCTAAGTCCACTAAATATCTTTTAAGCAAGTAGTAGTCATCCTAGTTGCTTCAAAAATTCTTTGGCTTGGCAATGCCAGCTAATATCATTGTAACTGTGTGTAGAGAATGTCAACAACATGCCAACTCCTTGAGAAGTCAATTGAAGATCTCTATTTGTAACCTAAATATTGCTGACATCTTTGTCAATAAAGGCTGTTTTAAATACTTATTGACTTGTTTGACTCCTTAGGGTCCTGCTGGGGAGCGTGGTGGTCCAGGCCCCGCTGGGCCCAGAGGAGCGACTGGAGAACCTGGCCGAGATGGTGCCCCTGGAAGTCCAGGAATGAGGGTACAGAGAAACATACATGTGCTTTATTTTGGTGATAAAAAAGGGAAGATACATGGAGGCAGATCAAAGACAACTTAAACCACACTACAGCTTTTGTAAGACTCAAAGCAGAACAAAATGATGTTAGGAAAACTTGGTCAAGGTTAAATACAGGAAGAAAAGAAAGTACAACACTTGACTAAGATGCTTTACAGACAGAAAAAAAAAAAACAGGTGTAAAAATATAAGGCTATATGTATAAGTGGACATTTCAAAATTGTAAAAATAGCATATGATGTATTTTTGAATATTTTAATTCTACATCACCTGACTAATGACTTCTTTAATTCAGGGTATGCCCGGAAGCCCAGGAGGACCAGGCAGTGATGGGAAACCAGGGCCTCCTGTATGTACCTTTCAAAAATCTCTTTTTACAAGCTTAGTAAAACAAAATAGACTGCATGCACATGGATAACTAGAGAGAGAAGGCTTTGATCATATCTTCATCTAACCTTTTCAATACAATTTTCTTTTCATTAGGGAAGTCAAGGAGACAGTGGTCGCCCAGGTCCCCCTGGCCCATCCGGTCCCCGAGGTCAACCCGGTGTCATGGGCTTCCCTGGTCCTAAAGGAAATGATGTGAGTTTCCTCATTGATTTCTTCAGTAAATATTGTACAGAAGATCTTCCAGTTTCCACTTGGAAATGCAGAAACGGTCAAAACTCAGTCTCCTTGTCAAAGTGTGAAAGAATGTATGAAAATCACGTGGCATATAGGAAGGGAACCAAATATACCACTGAGTATGATTTTGTGTATGTTTGTATGTGTGTGTGTGCATGTGGAGGAGACAGATCAAAAATCAGAGAGCACCATATGACTAGTGATTTCCTTTTGAGAACTAGTAAGCACTAGCCATTTCTTCTTTAGGGTGCACCTGGCAAGAACGGAGAACGAGGTGGGCCTGGAGGACCTGGCCTCCCGGTATGTAGATTTCATCTACTTGCTTCTAGATTTCTCATAGATGCGTGAATATCCAACTTCATGCCTGTCTTATCTTTTTTACATCAGTTTTCGTAACTTTTCTTTTTTAGGGTCCTCCTGGAAAGAATGGTGAAACTGGACCCCAGGGTCCCCCAGGACCCACTGTAAGTTCACTCATATGAAGTGGAATTGGAAGAGGGTGGAGGGGAGAGGGGCAAGGCTTTGCTAATTATATACTCTGTGACTGTGTTGTTATAGTTCACCAAAGCAATGAGGAAACTTGCTTCTTTGGTTAACTAGCTAAATGATAACACCTCTAAATAAACTATATATCTTATAAGTCTGCTTGTGTATCTTCCACAGCTCAGGCCATCTTCCCTTCTCACATCATTGCTTTAAAGTTAAGCAATGGACTGGCTAAAAATTGCAAGGGTGTTTTGTAATGGAGTATACCATTGTATTTCTCTACATAGGGGCCATCTGGTGACAAGGGAGACACAGGACCCCCTGGTCCACAAGGATTACAAGTAAGAATTTGTGCTTAAATGTATTTGAGAACTTACTTTTAGCAGACAATTCTGTATGTCCTATTCATAGCTGTATTTTTCATAGTTTGTTCAAATTTGAGGGGATCCTACACAATTGCAATTCATCTGAAGCTTAATTTGTAGGTCTGTCTTCCACAGGCATATCTTCCATCTCTATTTCAGAATAAGAATATTGTTCTCTCTATTGTCTTTTTTTAGCTTTTTAAAAATTTATATAAAGGGAACCAATTTCAGGCATTACATACATATAGTTTTAAGAGTATAATCCGGGAGTGCAGTGGAGGATGGCCCAAGTGCTTGGGCCCTGCACCCCATGGGAGACCAGGAGAAGCTCCTGGCTCCTGCCTTCCGATCAGCGCTGTGCACCGGCCACAGCGCCTGGCCGCAGCGGACGTTGGAGGATGAACCAACAGCAAAGGAAGACCTTTCTCTCTGTCTCTCTCTCTCACTGTCCACTCTGCCTGTAAAAAAAAAAAAAACAAACAAAGACAGACATAATGATAGTTTCTACCCTACCCTCTCTCCTTCCTTTGTTCCCATCAGTTATAAACATGGCCTTCTTAGAAGAGAACTAATTCAACTCATAGAGTTCTATATGATTCTTCTCATCTCGTTTTTCTGTGTAATATACATGTATAATGTAACTAACTCCATATCACCATGCTCATCACTATAATTACATGCAGAAGTAGAATTGATGATAGAGGAATTTGGGTTTATAAGATATGATTACCACATTTCTGTCAGTGATTTTTCTACCTTGAAACAAATCATTGGACCATTTTTGGATTACCTTGCAGAAACATATTCATATGTGAGAAGCTTTTTTGAGAACAGTGTTTGGTGTGATTACATATGCAAATATGGTTCTTTATAGGGTTTACCTGGTACCAGTGGTCCTCCAGGAGAAAATGGAAAGCCCGGTGAAGCAGTAAGTTGCATTTCACTTTTTAAATTGCAGAAAACAAAAGGAAAAATAGTAATAGTACTATTTCTCAACTACTAACATTTTCATTTTGTATGCTCTGGTATCTGTCTTAATATTATGTCTTGAAATGTTAATTATAAAAAAGACAAATTATAGAAAAGGCAATTAACACATAAAGGGTTTGGATTTTACCATAAGATAATAGAGCTTAAGAAAGATAGCATAGCTTCAGGATTTGAAAATGTGTATGCTATACAAACAGGTCAAATGTATATTTTGCTTTTGCTTTATAATACATATTGATATTGACCCAACTATACAATCCCAATCTCTTAGGGTCCAAAGGGAGATGCTGGTGCACCTGGAGCCCCAGGAGGCAAGGTAATATCTCAATTCATTCCCTGATTTCTTCAGTATTTTCTAAAACAATTGGTTAGTAATACATTTCCAGTTTAATGTGCCAAAATATTATTTTTTCAGAAGAGCAATCTCACGAATGTTTGGTGAAAATACTTAAAGAACTCAGAACATTTCCAATATGTAAAGTTTGTTTTATAAGGAAAATTCAATTCTTTTAATGTTAATAAGCACCTACAGAATCAATCATGGACTTGAAATTTCAAAAGGGAAATGCTGACAATATATTGATTGTATATAGAAGCGTTTAGCTAGAAGAACTTAGAAAATTTGCCTTGTGAATAAAATAATGATAATGTATGTTTCAAGAAAGCTTATATTTTCATGAATTAAGTATCCCTGCTTCATGTTTATACCCTAAAATTTCCAGTTTCCACATAGATTTTCTATATTTCCACATTTTTTCTAACTATAAAAATTTCCAAGTTGTTACCAAATATAAATGGAATACCATACACCAAAAGTAATGTTATGTAAGATATTTGGATTAATTTCTAGACTTGAGTGTTCTGATACACATTTCCTGTGACAGGGTGATGCTGGTGCCCCCGGTGAACGTGGACCCCCTGGTCTGGCAGGGACTCCAGGTCTTAGAGGTGGTGCTGGTCCCCCTGGCCCCGAAGGAGGAAAGGTAACCCAGAGAGTTCATTTCGCCTAGATTTTAGAAAAAACATTCTATTTCCATCTTCACACTCACTATCTCTCTCCCGATTTTAGGGCCCTGCTGGTCCCCCTGGGCCACCTGGTGCTTCTGGTACTCCTGGTCTGCAAGGGATGCCTGGAGAAAGAGGCGGTCCTGGAAGTCCTGGTCCAAAGGGTGACAAGGTGCTAACTTCTTTTCTCTTGATTCTGAAATAAAATAGATATTTTTGGGTTAATGGAAAGCAACACAACTTGAATGTAACCTATTTTTAAAATTAATGTTATTATTTAAAGGTAGGTGGAATTTGAGATAGATCCCCAATTCCTAATATATACCCCCAGAAATAGAAAACCCTAAGGTCTGCCCCTTTTCTTGGCAGATTTTCAGAGGACACTTCTCATTTGCTGACATTGACTTTTATTTGACAGGGTGAACCTGGTGGCGCAGGGGCTGATGGAGCTCCCGGGAAAGATGGTCCAAGAGTAAGTATTCAGATTCGGAAGGCTGGCCCTCACCCACAGCTGCTGTGAGACTGTCCTTCACATGGCTTTTTTTTTTTTTTTTTCAAAAACTACTTATGAAAAATTAGATCATACTTTACCTACCTTCTGTGCATTAGAAAGATCAAAATGCCTCGACTGTTTAAATTCCCAGTTTATATCTCCCACTATCTAAAAGGAATGGAAATAAAAAAAACTCACTCTGAAGTCATAATGAGTCACTAAAATCCAAGATAACCAATACTACTCACTAAGAAACTTTTGATTTTACGAAACATTGGAATCCTGTGGTAGCACTATGTAATACTATGCAGCAACAAAAAGGAATAGATTATCAATACACACAACAACCTATACACATCTCAGAGACATCAAAATGAGTGAAGGAAAGTCAATTTCAGAAGATACATCCAGCATGATTCCATCCTGACAATATTTATGGATAGTATCAATTCGATGATTTAGAGCAGATTAGTAGTTGCCAGGAGTTAGGTGTTCATACAAGGTTGCACATGTGATAAAATTATATAAAGCTACATACAGAGATCTTTTGCCAGAGTGTCTTGGCTTTCCATGCCTGAAATACTCTCATGGGCTTTTCAGCCAGATCCGAGTGCCTTTAGGGCTGATTCTGAGGCCAGAGTGCTATTTAGGACATCTGCCATTCTATGAGTCTGCTGAGATTCTCACTTCCCATGTTGGATCACTCTCCCCTTTATTTACTCCATCAGTTAGCGTTAGCAGGTACTAGACTTGTCTATGTGCTCCCTTTGACTCCCAGTCCCTTCACCATGACCAACTGTGAACTGAAACTGATCACCTGGAACAGTGAGATGGCATTGGTACATGCCACCTCGATGGGATTGAATTGGAATCCCCTGGTATGCTTCCAACTCCACCACTTGGGGCAAGTCAGCCTGAGCATGTCCCAAATTATACATCTCTTCCCTCTCCCATTCCCACCACCATGTTCAACAGGGATCACATTTCAGTTAATTTTTCAACACTTAAGAATAACTGTGCATCAATTACAGATCTAAACCAGTCATATTAAGTAGAACAGATAAAAAAAACTACTAAGAGGGATAATGTATTTAGTTGTTCATTAACAGTCAGGGCTATGCTGATCAAGCCACCATTTCCCATAATTTCACCATTTCCTCTGAAGGGAGGAGAGAACCTCCACTTTGACTATGAGCTTGTCTAAACAAGATAAGAATCGGAGAACTCAGAGGGCTTCCATAGCCTTGGAAACTCATGACTGGAGCATAGGGAGATTACTGATGCCATAGACAGGAGTGTCAATTGGTAAAGTCAACAACAGGAGTCACTGTGCACTTACTCCTCATGTAGGATCTCTATCCTTAATGTGCTGTACATTGAGATTTAATGCTATAACGAGTACTCAAACAATATATTTCACTTTGTGTTTCTATGGGGGTGCAAACTGTTGAAATCTTTACTTAATGCATACTAAACTGATCCTCTGTAAAAAAAAAAAAAAAAAGAAATTATCAATTCCCAACTTGACTCTCACTGGGATTAAACATGACAATAGGTCTGCTCTGATTTCATCATCATTTTAAAAAATCATCTATTATTTTTCACTTTATGTTTCTGTGTGGGAGCAAACTGTTGAAATCCATACTTAATGTATACTAAGCTGATCTTCTGTATATTAAGATAATCGAAAATGAATCTTGATGTGAATGGAAGGGGAGAGGGAGTGGGAAAGGGGAGGGTTGTGGGTGGGAGGGACGGTATGGGGGGAAAGCCATTGTAATCCATAAGTCGTACTTTGGAAATTTACATGCATTAAATAAAAGTTTAAAAAAAAAAATATGACAAACCCTTAATGCATTAGGCATAGATAAAAAAAGCCTTCAATTAACAAATGAGCACTCAAAACTGTGTTCTCTGAGAAACCATTTTATCATGCAACCTCTATAATTAAAATTCTTTAACCCGCAAAAAAAAAAAAATTATATAAAGCTACATACAAACCCATAGACACACCATGGAGTCGAATACAACTGGTGAAATCGGAGTAACTAAGTAAGGGTTGTAACATCAGTTTCTTGGTGTGGATGTTGTGTCGTGGTTGCCTGAGATTGTTTACATAGGGAAAGGAGCCCAGAATGTCCCTGTAAATTTCTCTGCAATCTCCTGTGAATCCATCATTACTGTATAATAAAAATTAACAACAAAACAAAAATATCATAATCAATTCTATTCCTACTCTCAAACATCTTCTAATATGACTGCAACAGATAACCATAATTCAGTCATTTCATAGATACTATAGTTCCTATAGTTTTCATAACTCATAAATACTTCCCTTTTAATAAATGAGACCTCATTCATTGTTAAAGTTATCTAATACTTCAGTTGTGTAATATAAGTAAAGCAAGTAAACTAGTACTTGAAAATTCCAATTTGAAAAATGTATAATATTTCAGTAGATAAATTAAAAATTTTAAATTATCAAGCATTTGAATAAAGGATCATACTTTAATTTTCAAAGATTATTACTGTGATGTCCTATAGCTCATCCTATTCATCTCCCACAATGGAGATGAAAAACAATGAATCAATGAACTGCTGTTGGATCTTACTGTCTTCTAGGGTAATCCTCAGGGAAACTTGCATTTACTAAACTCTTCAGTATCACACATTGAGTAAAGCACATACCGCAAGAGAAATTACATTTCGAGTTTAGGAAATGAATGATAGTAATGAATTCATCTTCAAAATTTAAAAATATATTTATATTTTCTTTAGGGTCCTGCTGGTCCCATTGGTCCCCCTGGCCCAGCTGGCCAACCTGGAGATAAGGTAACACTTAACCCTCCTTGGGCAAGAAGTAAAGTATCTTTGACCTTGGATGAAGAACAGTGGCCATATTGTTTGTTTTCCCTTTTTACAGGGTGAAGGTGGTGCTCCTGGACTTCCAGGCATAGCTGGACCTCGTGGTGGCCCTGTAAGTGCTAAAGACATTTTCAGCATATTTTAGACCCACTCAGACACAATCTCTTCATGTTACCCTTAGCAATTTGGCCCCAGGTGCTCCAAATCTCAATTTTAGAGTTCTATCACTCACAACATATGAAACGCAAAGGAATGCAAAATTTATTAAATTTAAAATTTACAAGAGACAATTTTAAATCATGACCTTTTCTAAATAGCTCTGGAAAAAATGTAAAAATGATACAAACAATACCTGAAGTTACTTCAAACATGCTCATGAAAATTAAATTAAAATATAACCTTATATTGGAGCAAAATTTTTGAAATGCATGAATGCTTCTAGGTTTGTAAGTTAATCCTTCTTAAATCTACAAGACCTTTGCCTAAGAGTCCTTATAGATCTGAAATTCTCTGCCTTCAGGGTTTGAGACCACAGACAGCATTATAGTAAATCACTTTTAATAAACTAATTACATAGTTTTTCAATTAACCTTTCACTATATTTTAAAATACACTTTTAAAATTATACAATAAAATATTTTAAATATTTCACAATTTTCTTCTTAGTAATGCATCAATCAATGACTTTTTTTAGAAGTAGAAAAATTTTCAGAAATTAAACTATGTTAGCTTCTTGTGTCTATCTCTGAAAAGGTGTACTGCCTATGGGAAGGTCTCTCCATTGCGACTAACAGGGATATTTTTCTCTTCAGGGAGAGAGAGGTGAACACGGGCCTCCAGGACCTGCTGGCTTCCCTGGTGCTCCTGTAAGTATGAATATTTAGTCACTCAGAATCAACACCTTGCAAAAAAAAAAAAAAAAACAAAAAAAACAGCAGAAGTGCAAGGCAAACTTGGGTTCTAATCCAGCCTCGATACTCCATTCCTTGTTGCGTTATGTTACTTATTTGATTTTTATTTTTGTTGTACTACTCCCACTCCTCCTTTTTAAAGGCTGAAATAAAAATGCCAGTCCTTCCTCTCTACCTGCATGGTGAGGCTAAAACACACCATAGATACTCTAAATATTTCTAAGGTCTTTCACTGTAAGTTGATACTAATTAAAATTTACTCTAAACTCAATCTTTCTCAAAGCTTCATTTCCAGATGCACAATCCTTGGAGAAACTTCCTCTCTAGTGGCAAATTATATACACTTTATATTTCCTTGATTGTCTTCTCTCATGGAAATGCCTTTACTGACTTTGCAGTCATGTTTTCAGACATCTTTCCTATATTATTTCCAAGTCTTTCAATCTGAAGAAGTCTATATTCTGAAAAGAGACAGTGATAAACCAAGCCTGTTGTAAAGGATGGCGGTGACAGGTGGTTGTTTCTGCATATAGGGACAGAATGGTGAGCCTGGTGCTAAAGGAGAAAGAGGTGCTCCCGGTGAGAAGGGTGAAGGCGGTCCTCCTGGTATTGCCGGACCCCCTGGAGGTTCTGGGCCTGCTGTAAGTTTCCATCTCTCTCTCTCTCTCTCTCTCTCTCTTTCTAGTCCCTACCCCCACCATGGAAAACATGTAGTTTATTATTATTATTTTAAATCATGCTTCCCTCCCTCCATCAATCCCACTCATTCCTCCCTTCCTTCTTGTTCTTTAATTTCTACAAATGTAGTTTATTATTAATTTGATATTTCATGCTGAGATAGCATGTTCTGATGGCAAGAGTTTAATCTTTGTGGAAATACAGTTTTAAGTTTAAATCTTGGCTCCAGCAGTCTAGATATGGATTCACTCAAGTTCTTTTCACCTCTTCATAGAGTTATTGTTTTCCCATGATGCAACACTTCTCTCACATTTTGATTTCGGTGCTGTCCTCATAGACCTTTCCCCCTCCATTTCACATAGGGTCCTCCTGGTCCTCAAGGTGTCAAAGGCGAGCGTGGCAGTCCCGGTGGCCCAGTAAGTACTGACAGTCTAACTACTGTTCTCTGCACTATTATTGAAAAACATTCATTCCTGTCTTGCTATGTAAAAACTGTTTTCAAGATACGAGAGCTAAAACAGAGTTGAAAAATTATAATCACTCACCCATATTTGAGTTATATGAAAAATCCTAAGAGGGAAAAACAAGCCGTAAATGTCTTTGAGATAGAAAGCAGATGTATGACTTTGCTTACTCTTTGTGCACAGTGTAGATATTTGCTCTACTTTTGAAATTCAAAAATAAATGATCATTTCATAGGGTGCTGCTGGCTTCCCTGGTGCACGTGGTCTTCCTGGTCCTCCTGGCAATAATGTAAGTATTTTTAAAAGTCTTTTCTCATTCTGTGTTTCAGGAAGAGCATTCAAATATTTATAGCATAAGAAACTTACAAATTGCTACTGACCTGCCTGTTAAGTCCCATGTAAAATTATTGAAAGTAGATAAAATAAGAAAAAAGATCACTTTTTCCATTATAAATATTCAAATGTAAAACAATTCTTTGTAGGGTAACCCAGGACCCCCAGGCCCCAGTGGCGGTCCAGGCAAGGACGGGCCTCCAGGTCCTCCAGGTAGCAACGGTGCTCCTGGCAACCCTGGAGTGGCTGGACCAAAAGGCGACGCTGGCCAACCAGGAGAGAAGGGATCCCCTGGCGCCCAGGGTCCTCCAGTGAGTGACTTCATTGCTTTATTGATTGACAATATTGTTTTGATTACTGATCACAAATTAATAGAGGAAAACATAGTAACAAGGAACTATGTCTTCATCATCTGTCACAATAGGGAGCCCCAGGCCCACTCGGACTTGCAGGAATTACAGGAGCTCGGGGTCTCGCAGGACCACCAGGCATGCCAGGTCCTAGGGGAAGCCCTGGCCCTCAGGGTGTCAAGGTGAGTAGCCACCTTTCACTGGACTTTGCGTCCTTGGTAGCATTCAGAGATCACTTAACCATATCAAATATCAAAATTTCAACAAAACGCCATATAAATGATCATGAAATTAAAATTCGCTATTGAAGATTTAACTTATATGCCAAACCTACTAAGTGTATATTCTTCAGTTACAAAGAAATGTTTATAAAACCTAATTCTAATGTTTATCATAAACCTATGATTTCATGAAGGTTCACCGTTATTGTTTCTTACAACACCTACATCTATTGTGCTAAAATGTATTCTGAATGAGATAATCATGTAATTGCTCAGCTCTTTGGCATCCAGAGTCACTGAACAAGTTGAAAAATGCAAGAAACTTGTTTCCCCATGGTTCCCCTACAGAAGGCATCGTTTTAAGAAAAAAAGTCAATAAAAATTGAATAACACAGGATTGTCCTCAGTGAAGTAAATATAACAAATGTTAATTGATTTCACAAGTTTAAATGAGATCTTCCACTGCTTTGTACAAAGGGTGAAAGTGGGAAGCCAGGAGTTAATGGACAGAATGGAGAACGTGGGCCTCCTGGACCCCAAGGTCTTCCTGGCCTGGCTGGCACTGCTGGTGAACCTGGAAGAGACGTAAGTAGTGATTCTTAAGACATCTTCAATTGGCCAGGTAAAATTGGATCATTTATTTATGTCAGACTGAGCATTAATATCTAAAAGAATAAACAGGACCATGCAGCCAAGATCTCTTTCCTTCTCTGTTAACAATTCTTTTTTCATTATGACTTAGAATAAAATAGAATACAACTTGAAGACCATTTTTATGAATATTTACCCAATAAATCATTTTAGTGGAGAAAATATTATATCTAACCAAATAAGGAAACAAGTTGATGGGCAGAGTCCCAATTAACATCTTTTTGTGTGTGTAAAAGTATTCAACTATCTGTGCTTAGTCATATCTCATGTTTTTCAATTTTCAAATTAATATTATTTTTATTTGAGACATTTTTACCTAAGCCCTTTTCTGCTCCTACCTCATGAAATTTTCATACCATAGATATACCATATATCTGTTTAAGTATCATGCCCTTCAAGGAACTACACACCACTGTATTTGCTAAGATTTCTCCTCTTCAAAACCCAATGTTCAGCCCCTTTAGTGAAGGCATGACTTAGATGGTATTTAGATGACTCAAAAGAACTTGATTTTTTTCTCTCTTTTTGAAATCAGGGAAACCCTGGATCAGATGGTCAGCCAGGCAGAGATGGAGCTCCTGGTGGCAAGGTATAACAAATGCATGTGAGACAGGTTGTTGTCATTGGAGCAAATGATCATCATATTTATGATGGATGTATGAATTTGTTTACAGGGTGACCGTGGTGAAAATGGCTCCCCAGGGGCTCCTGGTGCTCCTGGTCATCCAGGCCCCCCTGGTCCTGTTGGTCCAGCTGGAAAGAGTGGTGATCGAGGAGAAACTGTGAGTTCTGAGAAACGCCATCTCTTCTTTCTTATCTATTTCCCTC